CTCATAAGCCACCAGCGCGCCTGTAGCAAATGTGGATAGAGCCTTCCCAAATCTTCGTTCACGAAGCCTAGCCATGATGATGAACTGCTTAATATTAATGTTAATCTATTTTAGAGTACCAAAGGGTTGCTAAGCAACTAACTCATGTGTTTTACACTTTTGTGTTTTGTCTAGTGGATGTAGTAGCGGTTATGTTTTGTGGATGTGTATTTATTTGCATGTACATTTTCAATATGTCTCATTCAAGGATTTATATCTCTGTTTGTCAGATCTCACTTGCCATTAACCAGCTAGGGTTAATGTTTTCTTGAGATGGCTTGAGTATGGTTTCCTGACAGTTGGGCATACCTTGATGATGTAGTTTTTTAATTGTTATGTTGAATGGTCTCTTAGAGAACCTGTATTCTGATGGAGAATGAATGAGGCAATTGCTTGCCTTAAAACTCTGGGTATAGTGTTAAACATTGCTGCTTTAGCAGCTTTTCTGTTTCTGTCAGTTATTGTCTGTGGCATGTCAGGATGTGATTTTGTGTACATTTGTATAGAAATCATACCTTCTGTAACTCACAGGAACCAAACAGAACACATTTCAAACAACAGGTAAGGGTTAACAATATCTCACAGAAATTAACCTTCAAAACAGGTTATCAACTTCATAGCATAATAAGCACAATCATAACATCAGAGGATTGTTTAAAATTTTCCCAAGGTAATATGAATGACAATCAGTTCCAGAACTATACAGAAGCTTAGTTCATGGCCTGTAGTTTTCCTACTGTTCCGTGGCAGGATTTATTTAAGTCTATTGCAGCATATTATGTTTTCTTAGATGCATGTGTGAAGGTCCTGAGGCCTTTCACTGGTTCAGGTCCACATCTGGTATGGTCTTTAAAGGTAAACTGTTGATTTCTGCCACAATTTGTGCTTTTAAGGAGATGAATTAAAATATTACCACTAAAACTTGCCAGGGCACCTTGAAATCCAGCGTCCTCAGCTGTCATCCTATCCAAATTGTCTTTTCAAAGCTGGAATGTTGGTAAAGGCAGGATTTCTTCCGTCCATTTCCTCAGTTGTGCTCTGCCTTAAATGACAAGCCTACAACTCAACAGCAACTTACACAGATTTAGGTGGTGGGGTATGACAGAAAAGACTGTTTTAGAACCAACAGTGGGTTTCTCTCAGTTTGATCCCACTGAAACAAAACTGCAATGTTTCATACCTGCTGGAAACAAAAACTAGGCAGATTTGCCTTTCAGGATCTCTCCTGTTTTGTTTGCCTTTTATTACCTTGGTATAATTTTCTAACATTTGGCTTGTCTCTGCAGCTAGGAATTTGTCAGATTTTAGGTTGGAGTTCTCCCCTAGCAACACAAAGAGAGGGTGTAGGTCCCCTCTGTTTATGGTTAAAACAGGTTTTAAGCAACTGGTAGCCCTCTGAGGTTTCTGCAACTCGCGTAAATATAAATGTTTTTTATTTCGAGCTGTGTCACCTGTGTAGAGCTTTTTTGCTGTGTTGTCTTGTCCATGGCAAGTCCAGAGCTGTGGCTGTTGGATTCCTCCTGAAACAACCTGAAGATCTGCACCTTGGGCAGTTTTGGTTAAAGCAGCAGAAACAATTAGCAGTTCATTTCTTGTGGTCGTGGTTATTAACGTGTCCTCTGCATAATGACGTATTATGGCTATCTGATACTTCATCGAGGTATTTTGCATCTCCTGAGGAAGGGCAGCCCAGCAGTGAGTTTGGTTAAATTGTGCACTGTTTAAAACCATGATGGGAAAGAGGGGTTTCTGGGCATTCTCAGGGTGACGGAGAATGGTAAAGGAATGGTTTTTTGAATCAGTTACCACTCGTGACCAATTTGCTAGAAGCCTTATAGGTAGAGGCAGTCCGATCTGCAAGGCTTCTGCATGTTTTTTGACTGCGTGTTCTGCTGTTAACATCTGTAATGTTTTCCACTTGTCACCTTTCTTTGGGGTATAGGGTACATGGTTATTTTGGGGGCTGGTTATCGGTATATTGTGGTTTGCCTGAAGTAGTTTTCTCTTTTGCACATGAAAAGTAGTGTTAAAAAAGAGTACAGCTAGCAATGCTATTACAAGCAATACAATGCTTGCAGCATATCTTTTGCTTTGTTTATGGCACCCTTGGTACAACTGAGACATTTCTCTGCTGCTAGGGCATTTATGGAATGTTGCTATTAGGGGCTTCCATGGACAATCTTCCTGAGAGTGACCTATTTCTCCACAACTAAAACAGCTGTGTGTCTGACTTCCTTCTGTATTCTTATCTGGGCATCTAAAGCTGCAGCTAGAGAGGCAGGTAGCTGCTCCTCTGAGCTAGCTTTTTGATAGGGTTGAACCAGCTCAATAAAGTCACAGTTCTCCCCTGTAGGAGGGCTCTGCAAAGCTCTTGCATTTTCTCTTTCAAAAGCCAAATGCTTGTACAGCATCTCTCTGGCTTCATTGTATTCATTTTGCCTGTTTAAAGCATACTGCAGCTGGTCCAAGCATCTTAAATTTAACTCAGTATATAACCTTGTAACTCTTTAATAGGGGATAGGTAATCATTTGGATCTGCAGTGAGAATGTTTTCCATTCAAATTGCTTTTTCTAGACATTGTTCCCACATATTAGCTGACTTCTCCCCCTGTGCCTTTTTGATGCCTCCCGTTAGAACCATGTTTTGTTTTTTGTCCCCCTCTTTGTCCCCCTCCCCCCATTCCTCCCATTCCTCCCCCTTCTCCCCCCTTGTAGCACCGTCAAAACCGGTTCCCTGTGGGGGGATGGTGGGCGGTGCAGGCCGCGAGTGGGGGGCGGGGCTGGCTCTCTCCCTGTGTCTATGGGTGGGGTGGGGCTGCGCCGGAAAAGAAAGGTCGGAGTTTAGTCGGTGGTGGGGGGGAAATGGCTGCGGCCATACCTGCCCACGTGGTCGCTGTTCATTTGCAGCGAAATGGGGTAGGTACGTTAAATTACTCCCCCCATCGCTGTAACAGAATTGCCTGCCGTGGTCCCGGAGCTCGCATGGCAATGTCTGTGTCTTCCCAGCGACTCGCTTTACTTGGCTCTCGTGTCTCCTGAGTTTGTATTACCATGTTGTGCTGTGCTGCTATCAGCAGTGTGTGCGAGGGGGTGGGGTGTGGACTTTTTGTTTTTTCTCTGTGTGCCTTGTGCAGGCAGAGTTTATGACAGAGTAAACTGCTTTATGTTGCAAAGTTTAGCAAAACGCTTGAGTCTGAGTTTCCCTTCAATGTATCATGAGGTTTCTATAGAAAAAAGGGTGTCTTATGTTACCTTATGTCGATCGGTTGGGAGCACACGTTCTGAGTCCTTTTTGTAGCAGTTTGGGCTATCTGGCAGTCTTTCTCTGCGGTTTTTTTTTCTTTCGGCGTGGCTGTGGGAGTCCAGGCTGTGTCGGCTGCGGCGCGGTGGGGGGGCGCTGGGCTGCTCCGGCGGCGTGGGTGGTTCTGCGCACGGCTGGGGGCAGCTGCGGCGTGGGGCAGCTCGGCAGGCTATCTCGGCGATGGCGGGCCGTGGGGGGGTAGCTGCAGGCGTCGGTGCGGCGGCGAGCGGCGTGCTCGGGGCAGCGGCGGGGCAGGGTCGGCGCGCGGGCATCCGCGGCGTGGGCGCTGGCTTCTGCGATGAACGTTGGCGGTCGGGGGGTGGCTGGATCTTCGGGGCGGGCTGCAGCAGCGGCGTGCTCGGCGCGGGACATCCTCAGCGCGCGTGGCTCGGCGGGCGCCGCGTGGCGTGGGGCCGGCTGGGCCGGCGGGCGGTCCTAGCGCCGGTCCGGCGGAAAAAAGGCGGCGAAAAGCGGCAAAAAGTTCTTTTGGGGTTTCCGCGGTTTCTGAAAGGTTTTTCCTCAGCTGGGAGGGTCTACACTGTCGACACAGACAGGCAGGGGTCGGCAGGAGGTGGCAGCCAGCCTCCTCCGGTGCGCAGGACTCAGCAGGGGCTCCGATAGGGTCACGGCGCAGTTCTGCTTTTCCCACGTGGCTTTTGAGCGCAGCGCGGGTTTGGCAGGGGCAGCGGGCGAACGCGGGCGATGTTAAGGCGGCGCTGGGTTCCGCTAAGCGGCACTCCCGGCGCGGGTCCCTGCCGCGGCGCGGGGGGCAGCCAGCACACGTGTGTGGCTTGGCCGCTTCCCTCACGGTTGTAGACTGCGGCATGCGCGGGGGAAAGACGGCAGGGTCGCAGCGACGCCTTTAAGCTCGGCGCGGAGCTGGTCGGAGGCAGCAAGTAGGCGGGGAGCCCCGGCAGTTTCTGCTGAGCAGAAGCTGAAACGGGGCTCTGCGGGGGCCCGGCGGTGGCTACGCTGTTTCACGCACGTGGTCCAGCCGGAGCAGTCAGCAGCGGCGGGCCGCTTTTACCAGATGGCTGACGCATGGGGGACCAACAGGCTTTCCCTGAGGGTCTTAAGGTGCTCCGCGGCCCGGATCTCCGAGCTGCAGGCACGCTGCCGTTCAGGGAGCAGTCTTAGGCGTGCGGAATGCCTTTTAGCTAAACTCACCGCTTTTGATGTTGCGTTGGACCCTCTCCGCTCTCTCCGGTTGCCTGCTCTGACCTCTCGGCTTCTTCTTTAACTCTTTCTTCTCTTCTTCCGTGCACTATCCTAATATTTTTGAGCTTGCTAAACTAACTGTCCGTTTCTTAGATGCCACTAAGACCATGGAATTATTGACGTCAAAGTTTTTTGTGGTTAAAGATTCCCAAGTCAAACTAATAGACTTGATAGCCGGAAACTACCACTTATATACCTGATTCAGGGTAAATATCTGCTTAATATAAGCTAAAAAGTCCGTGTTCGGATCGCCATATGTAGCGTTAATGCCCTTGTATAACAAGGAATAATGATGCTCCTCGTGCGATGGTGTGGTCAAAGAGGATTTGTTCAAAACTTGCGCTCGCTTTTATCCTTACATGCCATGTGACTTTCTTAACTAACCAGTTTACTAGTTCTGGGGCATGCTCCTTGGGCTCTGTACCTGGGCACATCCTTTGTGCCTTTAGACACGCCTCCCACACTGTGGCCCCCCAGTTTTCCCTGTGCCTCTGCCCTTGGCCAGCGCCAGCTCTGTGGCATCTGGGGAGGTAGGAGATGCCCTGCTGAACCTGGGGGAGCAGGAGAGGGAAAGGGAAAGCTCTAAGCCAGGACTTCACTCCCCTTTGTATGCCTCAGCCACAAGGACACCTCAGGTTTTGCTGCTGTCCCGTCTTTGTAACCCAACCCCCCTAAAACCCACGGCAAGCAGAGCCTGGACAGAGACATCATCCAAGGAGCCCCATTCCACCACATCTCCGCCCCCAGAGGCTTCTTGCTGCCCTCCAGTTTGATCGATCAGAGCTTTCCTTACACAGTGATCCTCAGAGACAACATCCAGCTATCCCAAATTATTAAATCCTGACTAACGAGGACAAAGCTGCCTGCTGAAGCCACACAGCACGCCTCCTGAGCCCGCAGCCCCAGGTTCAAGACTCCATCTCTGCCTCCCGGCTTTCTTGCCTGTTGCTTTCTTTGCGTCCCTCCTCCTCCTCACCCTGCAGCAGAGCTTGGCCCCATGGAGCCCTTGCACAGGCCTGTTCAGCTCTCACAGGGCTCCAGCTCTGATAAGCGCCACAGATCCAGACTGGCTCTGTGAAGTCAGTCATACACGGAGACCTCTGGAACAGCTGGTGATCTTATCTGGCATTTCTCCAGCCCTGCCTGACAGTTGCATTTGTTCCATATATTGGGGGGAAGGCAGGACTTTGGAACCCACAGCTGTCCCTCACCTTATCGGCGCTCAGAGGGCTGCACAGCTCCCACCAAGGCCAGGGGCAGGGAAGGATATTCGGCCATTTCGGGAGTGTGATATTATCTGGGGGGTGATCTCAGCACAGGCCTCACAAAGCTGCTCCCAGGCCCCACAGATACACTTTAAACTGCAGAGGAAGGCGGTGAAGGGCAGCAGTGAAAGGCAGGAGTGAATCAGGAATGAATTTTCCAAAGGCCACCACAGGCAGAGCACAAAGGCTGTCACTCAACGTCCCTTCCCCTTTTCCGTCCCTGTCCCTCTCCCCACATTCAGGGACAGCTCCTGCCTGAGAGGAGTCCCTGAGGGCTGGGACTTGGCCTCTTACCGAGCACAAAATACTTCAGGATCTGCTTCAGCATCTCCTTCAGGATCTCGGGGTGGGTGATGGAGTTCAGCAGCTGCCCTTTCTCCGGCTGGGAGAAGATCATGTTCCCAAGAGCCTCGCAGTTTATCTCGCCATTCTCCAGGAGGATCTCAGTGCCAAAGTACCGCAGGATCGGCTGGTGGGCCTTGGAGTGGGGCTGCACCACTGAGAACATCAAACAGCTGGGGGTGAGGGCTGGTTTTACAGCAGCGTTTGCATCAGCAGCCACCCCCAGATGGGGTTTGGTCATGAACGGATGGAGCTGATCCTCGCCGGGGCACCACATCTGCCTCCAGCACATCTGCCTCAGCACCAGCTCCTGCCAACAGCCCTCCCAGCCCAAGGTCCCTTGCAGGGCTGAGATCAAAGTGTCCTGCAGACATTAATTCAGCACCACAACCCTCCCAGCCCGTGCTGCTGCTCGGGGTGACAAGTCAGCAGGGCGGGCAGGAGGACACGGCCGTGGCCACACGCCAGGGCAGGGGCAGGAACTGGGCTGAGCTGACTCCCACCGGTGAGGAATCAATCCAAAGGGACCAGGACCAGCTGAAAACTTCAGCACTACATGAACACACACTTCTACAACCTGTGTCTGGCTGCTGCTGAGGTGGTTTCTTTTACTGTCTTTGACCTCAATCACTAAATTCTTCAGGAAAATGAACACAAAAAACCTAAAAGCTCAATCCCCAATCAGCCCTTGCAGGGACTCTGATGTTACAGGAGTGTATAACTTTAAAGTCACCAAAAAAAATCACCAACAAAAGGGATGCAGCAATAAAATCATAATTAAACTCCAGCTGAGGGTAACCACAGTGAAGGAGAGAGCAGATAATCATCTCTCCCAAATCCAGGAACGTTACCACAGGTTGTAACCTCAGGCCAGCCTCATAGAAGTCTTTAAGACCAATTTCTTCCTCCCGTGGAATATCACATGGAGGCAGTTTTGGGATGCGTGAAATCCATATAGTAAACAAATACATATAAAAAAGGAATTGAAGGAAAATAAAGTGATTGGTAAAGAACTGACACAGAGTATCTGTAGTGTTTTCATACTGTCTCCAAGGGTTTTTAGCACCTCCAGCAAATTTCCTGCACCTCGAGGGGAATTACAGTGCAATAAAATGTTAAAGCATCACAGCTTTGAGTGGCTACACAATAAGTTCTTCAGCAAACAGAAAAGTTCTGGCACTTCAAAATGACACCATTGCACCACAGCTCGGCTGTAGCCCCTGGACCTGCCACATGCAGGATCCACAGAATCCCAGAATCCCAGGCTGGTTTGGGTGGGAAGGGACCTTAAAGACCACCCTGTGGGCAGGGACACCTTCCACTATCCCAGGTTGCTGCAAGCCCTATTCAACCTGACCCAGGACACTTCCAGGGATGGGGCAGCCACAGCTCCTCTTGCCAAGCTCTCTGTTCCCCTTGTTATCCCTGTGGGATGGAGGGGTTAACACCTCACAGCTAATTAGGGAGAGCAGCGTCTGCTCCAGTCCTGCTGAGGCAACAGACCTGGAATTCTTGCTCTTCCCTCTAGCCCAGGCAGCATATTTGAGAGCAGCAAGAGGCAGGTGTGCAGTGCAGGAGCGTGGACCGAATTCCCTGACCTGGGATCTCTGGAGCCTCTTGTTTTTTTTGAGCACATTAATTTTGAGGTCTGATCTCTCAGTGTCACCAAGAAAACAACATGCAGCACAGAGGGACATGGTCTGAAGTTGTGCCAGGGGAGGTTCAGGTTAGATATTAGAAAGAATTTCTTTACAGAGAGGGTAATCAGACATTGGAATGGGCTGCCTAGGGAAGTAGTGTATTCTCCATCCCTGGAGGTGTTTAAGAAGAGACTGGATGTGGCACTTAGCGCCATGGTCTAGTAATCACAGTGGTAGTGGATCAAGGGTTGGACTTGATGATCTTGGAGGTCCCTTCCAACCCAGCTGACTCTATGATTCTATGATTCTCATTCAAGGCTCTATGATCCCACCCCACATAACTGAGTGACAGGATGGGTGTCCTGGATGTCAGGGGGACACTGGATTAGCCAAGGGAACCACATTAATTTTGCCCAGAGTTGGCTTTCAAAACTGGGAAACGTCACACTCCAGGAGAGAGAGACTCAGGGCATGATCTCTCCACGGTGTTTCTTAGGACACGATCTTCTATTTTTGTTATAAAAAATATATCCTAGTTCCAATTCCCCCTCCCCCGGAGGCAGTTTCACAGCCTCACGGAGTGGGAAGCGGAAGGGAAACACTTGGATGTACCCAGAGCACCGTCTGCCGTCAGTGCCTCCCGGTAGTGATCCCAGTTGTCAGGGGAACCTCAGGGACCAGGATCAGCCACGGAAAACTCACCCTCCCTGGCAATAAGGTCGGCGTCGATCACGGCACGGCACAGCCCAGCTCCCGCAGCACGGCCACCACCATGCTCTTCCCCGATGCAATCTGTTATAAGTGATCTAAAGAAATTTGCTGCTCAAAATGGGAAAGAGTTAATAAAGTTACTGTATTGTGTTAACTGCTTTGTTGGAATCATAAGTTGACATGTTGTGCAATGCTTAACCACAAGTTCTGTAAGCTGCGGGATGATTAACACAACGCAAGAATGATTTAGCATATTGTATTTTGGAGATGTTTGTTCTAAGTGTATTAATAGGAACCAATATGGAGGGGTAGACCACGAGGAGTCCGGGTGATCAGTCGTCATCCCGATGGAAACTTCCAAGACCACGGCCTCATAGAAATCAATGACTTTGAAGTTATTGGTGGACACCCCTCAGCAACGGCAATTGCCCGCAAAGGGAGGAACCAACCCCAAGTTGACCCGCAAAGAGGGAACCAAGCAGGATGCAGCCCACGAAACCTCCACCAATTGACAGATGACATGACTTGGGGGGAGGTGACAACAGAGGGTATAAAGTGCTGTTTCCGTTCCTCTTTGCGGACCGCGGCAGGAACTGAGGTTTCCTCCGGTCGCCCGGCTAGCCGTTTTTGCTTGTTGGCATTAATAAATCTTTTCATTATCTTGCAACCAAAATTATAGCCTCGTTTTACTTATTTCAATTGGTACCGTGACTCGGATGAAGACCCCTGGGTGGTAGAACCACTCTCTGGGGAGGGCACCCCCATCCCATTTTTGGACGGCCCTGGGGAGATTCTATTATTCAGACTCTTCATACCAACCAATTTATTAAGGCCAGACAAGCAAAAAGAAGTTTCTGCAGATCTCTGTAATCTCTGCATGCGAGTCTGGACGATGTCCAGCTCAGGGAGGAGCTCGGACAGGTAATTTTGGGTAGGTTCGGTTTGCGGGCAGGATAGCTGACCTAGGGAGAGGCAGCTGTGTGGGTCGTCCGGTTAGGGAGGTCCACTCCAGTACCCGGTGTGGTGCTGCCGAAAAGAGCAAAGACTCATCTAGGAGAGGTGAGTATTGCGAACCCCCTTGGCGGTTGGGAGGGGGTCCTGGGGTGTGCCTGTGTGAGACGTTCTCTAAGAACGAAGCGAGTGAGGACCCCTAAATAGTGCAGTTCCTGTAGCCCACGAGGGAGCAGGCCACGAACAGGGGGAAGCGTTTGTGACTTGTGTATGTGTGAGTGAGAAAGAAGGCACCCCAGAAGATGGGATCGGGGAAGAGCAAGGCTTCCTCACCCATGGGAGGCTGTAAGGTAGAGCAGCCAGATGGTCCCTCTGATGGGGAAAGACTTCTGAAGTCTAGAAGTTCCTGGGGAAGGGAAGGACTCAGAAGTAAAGCTAGGAACTCGAAGAAAGACCTTCTAGGAGAAAGACAGTTTATGCTAGGTAGCTGCAGCTCCCAGGGAGAAAGGGATCTTGTGGTTAGGGACCTGTCTACCGAAGAGAAAGATAAATCTATGAGTGAGTTAGGAAGCAATTCTCGAGAAGAGAGAAGATTTAAAGCAAGCGGCTTTGAGGCTAGGTCGCAGGGGATTCCACCGGACAGCCCCTTAGGCACATTATTGAAAAATTGGAGTAGTTACCCTCACACTCTCGGTAAATCTAGAGAGAAGATGGTCTACTACTGTGTTGAAGTGTGGGGAGGCAAACAAATAGGTTCAGGTGGAGAAGGTGTATATTGGCCAGTGTACGGCTCTTTCGAGAGCTGGATTTGTGAGATTCTTAACTGGCATGTTAGCGATAAAAGACCTTATTGTCTAGAAGAGAATCATTATGCTATTGTTTGGCTGGAAGCAAGTACACCTACTTACTTATTCCCTTTAAGGGAAAAGAGAAAGCAAGTAAACTTTAGTAAAGATCCAGAGTCTTGGAACTCCCCTCCACCTTATATTCCTCCCTATAATGGAGGGAGTGTAGTGACACCAAGTGCTCCAGAGGAATCAAAAGCCGCCATTTTACCTGCACAAGGGCGGGAATCCACCATTTTGTCCTCAAAAGGGCGGGAAGCCGCCATCTTACCTGCAGAAGGGCGGGAAGCCGCCATTTTGCCATCTGCCTCTGCACACACATTGGTAAAAGAATCCAGTGAGTTGCTTTTAGATTCCAACATTGCATCAACTCCTGGAAATATTGAAAGTCCTCTTCCACAATCACAACTATATCCCCTCAGAGAGACAGCCCTAACAGGAAGACAAGGTGGGATAGGATTTGTATCTGTACCCCTAAGTTCCGGAGATGTAAGAGCCTTTAAAAAGGAAATGGGGAATCTTTTAGAGGACCCTATAGGGGTTTCCGAAAGGTTTGATCAATTCTTAGGGCCTAATACTTATACTTGGGATGAGATGCAAGCTATATTGGGCATTTTGTTTACTGTAGAAGAGAGGGGAATGATCAGAGTGGCTGGTATGAGAAATTGAGATAGAAGGCATCAGCAGGGTCCAGCGGCCGATACGAAATGGCCTGCTGAAAAGCCGAACTGGGACAACCAGAGAGCAGCTGATAGAGCTCAGATGGACAATTTGAGGAGCATGATAGTGCAGGGAATACGAGAATCTGTCCCTAGAGGACAGAATATAGATAGGGCCTTTAAGGAATATCAGAAGAAAGATGAGTCTCCTACAGATTGGTTAGAGAGACTGAGAAAAAGTTTTCAACTATATTCGGGAATGGATCCCGAAGATAATGCCATGGGGCAGGCGGTACTTAAACTCAGGTTTGTGCAGGGATCATGGGAAGACATTAGGAGGAAGTTGGAAAAGAACAGAGACTGGCAAACAAAAGGTTTGGATTTGTTGTTGAGAGAAGCTCAGGAGGTGTATGTTAGGAGAGATGAGGTAAAAGAGGAAAAGAAGCAGAGGAGAAAAGAGGACATTCAGAGAAAGCAAACAAGAATCTTAGTAGCAGCTGTCAGAGGAGAACAGAAAAATAACAGAGAGCAGGAAAGGAAAGAGTCCTTTAGGTCTGATGAACAAGGACAGCCAAGAAGATATAGAAAAGTAAATCTCAGGGAAATTGAATGTCATTACTGTGGCCAGAAGGGACATATGAAGAAAGACTGTAGAAAGAGGCTACAGGAGGAGCAGGTCTTCTTAGAGGACTGAAGGGATCAGGGGCTCTATTTGCTGGGGACCCAGAAAAGTACAGAGCCCTTGATAAAATTAAAAGTGGGTCCTCAGCAACAAGTTATGGAGTTCCTTGTGGACTCAGGGGCAGAAAGATCTACTGTCCAACAACTGCCCCAAGGATGTATAATTTCAACAGAAAAGGCTCAAGTGATTGGAGCAAAAGGGGAGCCTTTTAAAGTACCAATAGTCAAAAATGTTGAAATAGAAGCTTCCAATAAGTTTGCCTTGGGAACCTTTTTATTAGTTCCAGAGGCAGGAACTTGTTAGGAAGAGATTTAATGATTGAGTTAGGAATTAATTTAGAAGTATCAGAACAAAAGTTGAAAGCAAAAATCTATGCCCTTACGGCAGAAGATGAGACAAAGATTAGTCCAGAAGTATGGTATACCCCTGAGACCATAGGAAAATTGAATATTGAGCCCTTTGAAATATCCATAAAAGATCCAGACAAGCCCATAAGAGTGAAACAATACCCAATTCCCAACGAGGGAAGAGCTGGCCTCAAGACCACTATAGAAAGACTGTTGGCGCAAGGATTGCTGGAACCTTGCATGTCTCCCCATAATACACCCTTCTTGCCTGTTAAAAAGCCTGATGGGACCTACCGATTGGTAGAAGATCTAAGAGAAGTAAACAAGTGAACAATGACGAGGTTCCCAGTAGTTGCTAACCCGTACACTTTACTGAGTCAAGTTTCCCCAGAACATCAATGGTACAGTGTGATAGACTTAAAAGATGCTTTTTGGACTTGTCCCCTTAAGGCAAAGAGTAGAAACTACTTCGCCTTCGAGTGGGAAGACCCAGACACTCATAGAAAGCAGCAACTAAGGTGGACAGTCTTACCCCAGGGGTTTACTGAATCCCCAAACCTGTTTGGGCAAGCTTTAGAGCAGCTATTAGAGTCATTCAAACCTCGTGAAGGAACAGTTTTGGTACAGTATGTTGATGATTTACTAATAGCTGGAAGAGATGCTGAGACTGTAAGAGATGAGAGTATTAGACTCCTTAACTTTCTAGGTGGAAAGGGCCTGAGAGTGTCCAAGTCTAAATTGCAATTTACAGAGGAAAAAGTAAAATACTTAGGGCATTGGTTAAGTAAAGGATGTAATGGACTGGATCCTGAAAGGGTAAAAGGAATATTGTCTATGCCCATACCTAGGAACAAAAGACAGATCAGACAAATTTTAGGTCTCTTAGGATATTGCAGACAGTGGGTAGAGAACTACAGTAGTAAAGTAAAATTCTTGTATGAAAAGTTAGCTAAAGAAGGATTGGTGAAGTGGAATGACAAGGACGAGGGCCAGTTAGAAAAATTAAAAGAAGACCTGATAAATGCCCCTGTGCTTAGTCTTCCAGATATCAGGAAACCTTTCTATTTATTTGTAAATATAGAGAATGGAACAGCTTATGGGGTATTAACACAGAAATGGGCTGAGCATAAGAAACCTGTGGGATATTATTCAAAAATTCTAGATCCAGTTAGCAGAGGTTGGCCCACCTGTTTGCAAGCAATAGTGGCTACTGCACTATTGGTGGAAGAGGCTATAAAAGTCACTTTTGGAGGAGAATTAAAGGTGTACACTCCCCACGATATCCGGGGAGTATTGAAACAGAGGGCAGAAAAATGGCTAACTGATAGCCGATTATTAAAATATGAAAGTATTCTGCTGAACACCTCTAAATTAGAACTAGAAGTAACCCATTTGCAAAACCCAGCTCAGTTCCTGTACGGTGAACCCCAAGGGAGTGTAGTACATGATTGCACGCAGGTCATAAGCCTCCAAACTAAAATTAGAGAGGATCTGGAAGAAGAAGAAGAGCTAGAAATAGGTGAAAAACTTTATATTGATGGTTCATCCAGAGTCGTAGATGGGAAGAGAAGATCAGGTTATGCCATAGTGGATGGAGTTACCCTACAAGTTAGAGTCTGGATCTTTGAGTAATACATGGTCAGCCCAGGTGTGTGAACTATATGCTTTATTAAGGTCTCTGCAGTTGTTGAGTGGAAAAACAGGGACTATATTTACAGATTCAAAATATGCCTTTGGAGTAGTCCACACTTTTGGAAAGATATGGGAAGAACGTGGGCTAACCAATGCAAAGGGCCAGGGGCTAGTTCATGAGAGTTTAGTTCGAGAAGTCCTAAAAGCTCTGAGAGGGCCAAAGCAGATTGCAGTAGTGCATGTACAAGGTCACCAAAAAGGGTTAAAGGCTGCAGCAAGAGGAAACAATTTAGCTGATGCTGAGGCAAAAAAAGCAGCTTTGTTGGTGATAAATGAGCAAGAAACAAAAAGTGAGCAAATTCCTAGTCTTTTAGTAATCAGGAGAAAGAGAAATTGTTGCAAGTCGGTGCAAGGGAGGAGCAAGGGAAATGGTTGTTATCAGATGGAAGAGAAGTGATCCCTAAGGGCCTTGCTCGCAAGATTATGGGTAAATTGCATGAGTGAACACATTGGAGTACCCAGGCCCTGGTGGATCATTTTGGAAATAAATATGTATGTGTTGGAGTGTATGATATAGCAAAGAAGTTGTTAGAAGGGTGTTTGACTTGTAAGAAAGTAAATAGAGGATATTTAAGAGAGAAAATTAAAGGAGGAAGGGAACTAGCAAAAAGACCATTCGAGAAAATTCAGACTGACTTTACAGAATTACCTAAAGTAGGAAGGAATCAATATTTATTGGTGTTGGTGGATCATCTAACCCACTTTGTGGAAGCCTTTCCTACTGCTCAGTGCACAGCTAAAGTTGTAGCCAAGATCCTGTTAGAGGAGATTATTCCTAGATACGGTGTAGTTGATGTAATAGACTCAGATAGAGGAACTCATTTCACTTCAAAGGTGATCAAAGAAGTAACAGAGTTGCTAGGAACTAAGTGGGAATATCACACCCCTTGGCATCCACAGAGTTCAGGAAGAGTAGAGAGAATGAACGAGGAAATTAAAAAAACACTTGACTAAATTAATGTTAGAAACAAAAATGAATTGGGTAAAGTGTCTTCCTCTAGCACTACTGTATATCAGGACTCAACCTCAAATGGACACAGGGATTTCACCATTCAAAATGATGTACGGTATGCCCTATGAATTCGGAGCCCCTATAGACAATCCAAAGGTTGAGGATACTCTCCTCAGAGAGTATATCATTGAACTGATGAAAAGAAGACAAGAGTTAAGGAAAAAGGGACTTGTAGCCCAAAGACCCCCTCTAGATATATGTATACACAAGTTCCAGCCAGGTGACAAGGTATTAATTAAAACATGGAAGGAAACATCTTTAACTCCACAGTGGTAGGGGCCTTTTGTTGTTCTTCTCACCACAGATACTGCTGTGCGGACAGCTGAGCAAGGGTGGACCCATGCGTCAAGGATAAAAGGACCAGTAAAGGATTCTGAGTGGAAAATAACATCGAGTCCCGGGGAACTGCAGATGAAGATTAAACGAGTACAGCCTGCAGATGAACCTTGATGGAGAAGCTGTAAGATCTAGCCTGTATATTTTCTTTCAGATACCCCAAGGAAAAACTTTAAGAAAAGTGAACTTTGTTTCATGGAATTTAGAGGGACTGCCTGAACAGATGGGAGGCTCGGGACTGTATAGGATAGCTGGAACTCAAACTGTTTTGCCTTTTTGTTGCGAGGTGGAAACAGATATACCAGGCGGACGTGATCCACATGGAATATCTTGCATAAAACACCCTGGATCCACTCATTACAGCTGGGTGGTATGTAAATGCAAAAAGTGTGGTTAAAAAGTGACCCTGTGTATCAATAAGGGGACAACCCTATTGTATCAAGTGTAGGACGGGCTCTACAGAATCTATAAGAGAACAATTGGCTAACGCTGAAATAATAAAAGCATTCTGTGGTTGGGAGTGGTTAGTCCCAGAAACTTGGGAGGTTTATGAAACCAATTGGAACAGGGCACTAATAGAACTGTGCCGTACTAGATTTTCCTGGAAATTGGCAAAGCCAAATCGAAGGAGATATATTGAGTTATTAGGATTAATTGACAGAATTCAAAATCTTGAAGTAAATGAGTCTCATCCTGAATCAGTGGAAGAAAACTAAGTGAACTGAGTCTATCCCCTGAAGATTATCACTGCTGCCGAGAAGAATCTAAGACCTCGTTGTTCCCTGCACAGGAGCAGACGAAGGAAGGCAGAGAGATAAAACGTGTGGGGAAGGTTGACTCAAAAATAATAACCACTGAAAGTAAAGGGAAGAGACTAAAACAAAAATGGGACAAAATCGGGTGCTAATCATTATTATGATAGTTTTTACAAGTTCTCTGGGAAATGCCCACCAACCGTTTGAATGGACCTTAACTAGGTCAAAAGATTCAAAGGTAGTTCGGAAAGTAATCACAGCAATTGGTCCAAAATTTAATGTGACAGTTTGTGATCTGTTAATGGCAAGCATACCCCAGGAATGTGGCAAGGGAGGTGGAAAACCTTCTATTACAGTAAATAAGGGAGCCACTTACTGGTGTCCAACTTCAAACCCAGGGAAGTCATATTGCAATTATCCTGGGCATTACCACTGCGGATATTGGGGTTGTGAGACCATAGCCACTGCCTGGAGACCTGAGAGACCAGACAGACACTTAAGAGTACCAATGGGGACCCCCATATTGTGAACCTCCTGCATTTGGAGGATTTGTACTTCCTAATGAGCCATCAAATTGTGAATATTTGCAGGTGCAAGTCCTAAATCATGAAGACCGAGGGTGGTTGACTGGAAGGACGTGGGGAGTGAGATTAGACAGGCTGTCCGCAGACCCAGGTGCATATGTAATCATAAGGAAACAGCCATTAACTGTTTACTCTCAATTACTAGGACCAAATTTAGAAATAAAGAAATCTATAGACAATGGCCAAAAGGAAGAAAGAAAACAGGTAAATGGAGTCCTTGCTAATTTAGTGTCACAAGAATTTAAGGTTGCCCAAATTCCTCCCACTGAATCATTCAAAAAGGAAAGGGTATCAAAAGGGGGAGCTGAATCATTGTTAAACATGGTAGAAGTATCCTATAAGGCTATAAATTACACTGACCCTGACATGACCACGTCTTGCTGGTTATGCTATGATGTGAGACCTCCCTTCTATGAGGGAGTAGGACTAAATCTCACTTTTAACTTGAGTGCAGAAGATAACCCAAGCCAATGTAGGTGGGAAGAGAAGGATATAGGCCTCACAATGTCACAAGTCAGTGGACAGGGGATGTGTATTGGAAACATTTCTCCAGAAAGCAATGAATTATGTGGTACTAGAATAAATAAGCTGAAAGGAGAAAGGAATAAGTGGGCTATACGACATCAGGGTGGGTGGTGGATATGTTCTAAAACTGGTTTAGTCCCGTGTGTGTCTTTATCTGCATTCGAGAGGAATAATGAATTCTGTGTTCAAATAACCGTGTTACCTCACATGTTGTATCGCTCTGAAGAGTCTGTTTTAGAGTTTTGGGAAATGAATAAGCACAGAATCCAAAAACGGGAACCAATCTGTGTAACGATAGCTATGAGAGCCACAGGTGCCAGAGTTGCATCCCTGGTACAGCATAGTCATGGATTGATTGCCCTGAGGGCAGCGGTAGATGAGGATTTGGACAGAATAGAAAAATCGATTTCATATTTAGAAACTTCCCTTAATTCCCTTTCGGAAGTAGTCTTGCAAAACAGACGAGGGTTGGACTTGCTGTTTTTACAGCAGGGAGGTTTATGTGTGGCCCTAGGGGAGGAGTGTTGCTTCTACGCAAACCATTCAGGAATCATTAAAGAATCCACGACCAAACTACGCGAAGGGATATTACAAAGAAAGAGAGAAAAGGAGGCTTCACAGAATTGGCTAGATACCTGGCGTGATCAGTTTCCTTGGTTGACAACTTTAATCTCAACTCTAGCAGGTCCTTTGATAATGTTGTTTGCTTCACTAATTTTTGGACCATGTATTCTTAATAAGGTTATGAAATTTGTTAAAAGTAGAATTGAGACTGTGCAGTTACTGACAATAAAGCAACAATATGAAGACATGAGTGGGAAGTCTTCTAGTGAAGATCAAACCTCTCTCTTAGAAGTGGCCAGGGAGGTGGTAATTGAACTTGACCAGCAAATTTATGAGGAAATTAGGAGGGGGGATTGTTATAAGTGATCTAAAGAAATTTGCTGCTCAAAATGGGAAAGAGTTAATAAAGTTACTGTATTGTGTTAACTGCTTTGTTGGAATCATAAGTTGACATGTTGTGCAATGCTTAACCACAAGTTCTGTAAGCTGCGGGATGATTAACACAACGCAAGAATGATTTAGCATATTGTATTTTGGAGATGTTTGTTCTAAGTGTATTAATAGGAACCAATATGGAGGGGTAGACCACGAGGAGTCCGGGTGATCAGTCGTCATCCCGATGGAAATTTCCAAGACCACGGCCTCATAGAAATCAATGACTTTGAAGTTATTGGTGGACACCCCTCAGCAACGGCAATTGCCCGCAAAGGGAGGAACCAACCCCAAGTTGACCCGCAAAGAGGGAACCAAGCAGGATGCAGCCCACGAAACCTCCACCAATTGACAGATGACATGACTTGGGGGGAGGTGACAACAGAGGGTATAACAAGTGCTGTTTCCGTTCCTCTTTGCGGACCGCAGCAGGAACTGAGGTTTCCTCCGGTCGCCCGGCTAGCCGTTTTTGCTTGTTGGCATTAATAAATCTTTTCATTACTTTGCAACCAAAATTATAGCCCCGTTTTACTTATTTCACAATCCCACCCAAGAGTCCCACCAGGAACATCGTGCTCTGAAAGGGAAAAGAAAGGAGCTGGAAAACGTGCCAGGACAGGGCTCTTTTTTTTTTATGCTGGGCACAACAAATATTTAGCCCAAAACAGGTGGCTTCATTCGAAGTTCATCATCCTTACTTACTCATTGCCTTAATTATCAAAATGCAGAGCTCACTGTGTGTGCAGGATTTGCAGGAGAGGCTTGGTGCACATTCCAGCTGGGAATGGGTGTGTCAGCCTGTGGCTTTCCAGAGGTTTCCAGAGGTTTTGTACCTGGTGCTTCCCTCACCTGAGCCTCCCCACTCACCTGGAGCCCCAGCAGGTGTGCAAACCATCAGTCTGAAGAACCCTTCTCCCTCCATGAGCAGCTTTCCCTGGGCAATCCTACCTGCCCAGCAATGGGAGCGAATAAAAGGTCACCCAAGAAATATCACAGAGCCTTTTTTTATGACAGCACAGCTGCCCATTTATATTTCCTTTGCCCCCTGGGCGTGGCTCTGTGTCTTGGTTTAATCGGTTTAGCCGCGCTCAGGGAGGTTTTTATTTTCTTTTCCTCTGACAAGATTAGGTTTGTGGGAACCAGAGTCAAGCAGAGCACTGACAAGGTGCTTAGCCACAGCCACTTCCCAGCCCAGAGGTTCCTCCTGCCCTTTTTGCTAGGAAAAGGTGTGTTCTGGAGCCCTCCTTGGGTCCTGGTGTGTGATTCCTGTCACCCGGAGGAGCTCGAATGTTTTTGGCTGCAGATTCCACAAGCTGACTGGGAGATGTCCAGATGTCTGGGAAATCTCCTGCCCCCCAAAACCTCATGGGGATCCACCCAGGAGAGACCACGCAGTGGGAAAGGGAGTGAATTTCCTTCTGGATATCGATTCCATACCATCACATCCCACTGGGGTGTGGGAGTGTTTCGGGTTACCCCAATGACGTTGTCTCCAAAAACAGGGCAGGGGATGGGCCTGGAGCTGCTGGGCTTTGGAGAGCCACACTGGGAGTGTTGTCACTGCCAGTCTGTGCACTGGATCCTGGCACTGAGATTTAAAACATGAACATATTCCTTAGTGAAAGTAGCACTTCCTTTCCTTTTAAGGACAGGAAAGAGGAATTAGGTTTCCTCAGCCTCAGTCCTGTGTCAGCAGTGGGAAGTGGCTGCACTGCTCTCTGCTGTGGTCATCCAAGTTGATTTTCCAATGAAAACACTCTCGCTTTGGTGTTCGTCATGTTTTCCTTTGTGTGGAGTGTGTCCTTCTGCTGTCCCTGGTGTTTGTGGAGGGCTTATTCCCTGACTCTGGAAATGGGCTCAGGCTGGTGCGGTTTGGCACCTCACAGGCAGCAAGGGCAATGGTGACACCAAGGATTGGAGTGTCCCAGCCCCGTGAAACAGGTCAGTTCCGGGTAGGAAGAACTTGGAAATTCCCTGAAGCGCAGCTGGGTTGTTGCTGGATGGGGTGTGAGGGGGGAAAAGGAGCTTTTCCAGAGGGGCAGCTGCCAGTTTGGCAATCCCTGCCAGCACTTCACCACGAAAGGATGTTCCTGGGACAACCACATGTGGAATTCAGCTGTAGGTGTCGTGTGAGGCTGAGCTCTGCCACCTGGAGATCCCCAGCCCCTAATGAGATTACAGCCTAAGCACTGCTCCTGATTAGACCCAGGTTTGGCACATGGGGTTTTGGCATGGTCACAGTTGTTTGGGGGTGGTCGAGAGGTGTATGGGAGTTCCTGGGGGGCTTTTGGGGGGTTTTCTGGGGGTCCTGAGGTGACGGAACGCCCCCCCCCCCCCGGGCTATGGCCGCCCCTGCGAGCGCCCAGAGTGCCATCAAGACCTGGGAGCTGAGTCTGTACGAGCTGCACCAAACCCCACAGGTAAAGGGGGGGAAAGACACTGAAATTGGGGGGGGGGGGGAGACCCTAAAATGGGGGGGGAAACAACTCGAAGTGGGGGGGAGAGACCTCGAAATGGGGGGGAGGTAGGGACCCTGAAACTGGAGGGGAAACAACCCAAAATTGGGGGGAAAAACAACCTGGAATTGGGAGGGGGAAGAGACCCTGAAATGGAGGAACGGGGGGGGGGACATTTGACTTGTGGTGTCAGATGTCAAGACCTTGAAATTGGCGGGAGTAACTATGACTCTCTTAGTAGTAAGAGGGCTCTACGTTACTGACTGGGTGCAGCTGCAGAGGTCGCACCTCCTCACTGGTCCCACTGGATGCCCGTCGACCTCTGCCCCCTGGCCTCACCACCCAGCGGTAGTATCAACCGGTGAAACAAATTTCTGGTGACAGCTCGCCCGAGCTTGTTACCCAGAGCCTTGCCCACGGGTAAATAAGATGGGCAAAGCCGGCAGTTATACTTGAGGGGGTATGCTGCTGGCTTCCTCCACCCTCTACCAGACGGCGTGTCGCCCTATCGTGCGAGCTGACCAAACGCACGATAGTACCAGGTCATAGGCGGTCTGCAGAGACCAAGAGACTGCCTCTGAATTGGGATATACGCCTGGTTGCTGGGCAGGGGTTTGTCGCTAATCGACCTCTGTTTTCTGTCCCCATCCGTGGCTCCGAGCTGCGTAGCAAGGAGCAGGTGAGGACACAAGTTGTTACGACTTCAGACACCAGTTGTTCCCCTCTCTTTTGGGCGGGCATATGCAAACGTTGCTGGAGCACGGGGGACAATATCGACCTGGAGTGCGGCCACCAACTAAAATCCCAAGCTGATGGGGCTCCAGAGGCATGCCCGGAGATGGTGGAAGTGTCAGGCTTTACAGCCCCCAGTAGCTCGCACGGTCTGTGCCCTGCTCTGGGGTTTGGGGTACAGCTTCGATGCCTGGAGGCAACATCGGCCTCTGTATGCCTCACTAATATTGCTCTGAACTGCGTAGGGAGGAGCCGGGGCAGGGACATGCCATTACGATACTCCCTCATGCAGGTGCTGGGTAGTACCCCTTTCCAGCGGATGTGGAAGCACACCATGCCGATCAGGGGCATCCGTGATTCTGGTAGCAGCTGTGCTCGCTCGCTGGCGGCCTGGCTTCCCTCTGAGATGCGGGGTCCCAGGGCCCAGGCCTAAGGGCGAGAGAGAGAAGGGGGACGTGCGCGGTGGCCTGTCCTTCCCTCCGCGCGGGTCCAAGGCCTGAGATGTGGGGCGAGGGGGCGAGGCCGCGACGTGGCAGAGCCCACTGTCCTTCCCACCTCGTGCCGCCCGGCGCCGGGCACGCACCCGGTCTTCCCTCTGCGTGGGTCCTGGGCCCGAGATGTGGGGCGGGGGGCTTAGGGGTGCTCTGGTGCTGAGGGGCGGCCGCAGCGCTAGAGGGACCCTGCTGCCATCAACTCCCTGCCTGGGGGTAGACCTGGTGACCCCCCGGCTCAGCGGGAAGCAGCCAAGCCTTGGCACCCCTGGGGGCACCTGGGCGGTGCGGGACGGAGGTAGTTCCATCCCCACCCCCGTGCTTGCGGGTGTGGCACTTAGGGTTGGTTCTCCCTATTGCTAGGTGAAGCAGGTAGACCTGTTCCCGGCGAGAGGACTTAGAGCCAGAGTGCCTGGGCTGGCCCAGGCAGCAGGAAGACCTGTTGCCAGTAAGGGACTTGGAGCCTGAGCGCCTGGGCGGGCCCCAGCCGTGGGTAGACATGTTCTCGGCAGGGGACTTAGAGCTGGGGCTTGGGAGCTGGCCTTAGCGGCGGGTAGACCTGTTGCCGGCGGGGGAACATAGCCGGAGCATCCAGGCGGGCCCCAGCAGCAGGTAGACCTGTTGCCAGTGACAGGACTTGGAGCCTGAGCACCAGGGCTTGCCCCGCTGAGCTGCCTGCCCGGCAGCGGCTAGACCTGGTCTCTGACCACAGCTGGTCTCCAAGCTGAGGACTCCGACCCCTGGTCTCCAAACCCCGTGGGTAGAGCTCTTGTCCAGGTCCGGCAGCTAGAGCCGGTCCGAGGGCTCGGCGACGGGGTCCACCCGCCGCCGGGCGGAGCCGCGGCGCCCGGGTGGCCCCGGTCTCCGAGCCCCGTGGGTAGAGCTGCCGTCCAGGTCCGGCAGCTAGAGCCGGTCCGAGGGCTCGGCGACGGGGTCCACCCGCCGCCGGGCGGAGCCGCGGCGCCCGGGTGGCCCCGGTCTCCGAGCCCCGTGGGTAGAGCTGCCGTCCAGGTCCGGCAGCTAGAGCTGGTCCGAGGGCTCAGCAAGGGCCCTCAGCGGGCGCTGAAGCACTGCAATTTCTGACCGGTGCTCCAAGTGTGGCACCGAATTCACAGAGCGAGCAGACGGCGTGCAACTGCTAAATCTGTCGATTGGCGTGCCGGCATGCCCTTCTGGACCTGCCCTGACCTCCCTGATTTCCCACAGTTCTTAGCGAGTCCTTCCAGTGGGCATGCTCTGTTGAGTTCTCTCTCTTGGGGGGGCTTGCTGTGGAGATTCCATCTCCCATGGCCCTTTGCAGCAGACTTCCTCTCCGGCGTTAAGCCTTTCCTTTGCCCTGAGGGGAGAGACGTTCTCTGCGAGGAGGGGAAACAGGGGGAGTAACTTGGACTCTGCCTAGGTGGTATGGCTGTGGCCGCCTTGGCTCGGCTGCAGAGGTGCGCAGCGGGTAGAGTTGTCTCCTGTGCACAGCAGGTAGACCTCTTGTCCAAACCCAGCAGGTAGACCTGGTGTCCCAGCACAGCGGGTAGACCTGTTCTCCGGGCTCATGGGCTAGACCTGCTCTCTGAGTCAGGTGGCTAGACTGGGTTCTAAGTGCTTAGCCGAGGCCCTCGGCGGGCGCCGAGGCACTGCCGTTTCCGCCTGGGGCTCCGAGTAGGAAAGAAATGGCATTGTCTGGGGTGTGGGTAAAGAGGGGGAGTAGCTAGAACTCTCTTCAGGTGGCATGGTTGTGGCCGCCTCGGCTCGGCTGTCGAGGTGCTGGCGGGTAGAGCTGCTCTCCGAGCCCAGCGGGTAGACCTGGTGTCTGATCACAGCGAGTAGACCTGGTGTCTGAGCCTGGCGGGTAGACCTGCTGTCCAAGTTTTTTGGGTCGACCAGTTTTCCCACTTGAG